GCACAGCGTCTGTGATCTCGGCAGGCTGCGTCAGGCGGAGCAGCATGAGGTCGTGGCTGTAGTCCTCGTCTGCTTGGCGGGTGTGGTTCTTCAGGAGGCTCATGTTGAAGTCAGGGTGTGGGAAGCTCTCACTGACATGAACAAACTGGGCTGTGTCTTCGTCATCAAACAAGTTGTGGCGACCCAGCCAGAGCTGGTAATTGCTGAGGAAAGATGGGAATGGAGGGATGAGAAGACGGGAAGGGGAAAGGAGGATGGGGCAGGGGAGCATGGGGGAGGGCCCCCAAAGAGGGAAAGGGAAAGAGAAAAACTTGGGTGGGCGGAGACAGAGGAAGAAAGCTATAGTTATGGAGAAATACAGACAGTGAATGGGAAGATGAAAAAGTGTGAGAGTGCAAAAGGTAAATGAAGAGACAGAGCGAAAAAGAGCTCAAAAGGACAGAGGGGTGAGAGGCAGAAGGGAGGGCAATGAGAAAAAGGATGAGGAAAAAAGAGGCCGGTGAGAAGGAGAAAAGACAGGGACAGCGAGAAACAGGCCCAGGGAGGAGGGAGGAAGAGGGAAGAGAACCCAGAAGGGAGCGAGAAGCAGACAAACGAAAAAGGACGCGGGAAGTCAGAGCGAGAACGAGAAACAGAGGCAGAGAGGAAGGAGGAGTGACCGAGTGTGGGAGAGAAAAGGGAGGGAGGCCCTGGGGAGGGGGGGGGCAGGTAGGGAGGAGGGGAGGCCTGAGAGCGGCTCAGCTGCAGCTGGGGCTGTGGTGCGGGCTCCCCAGGGGCAGGTGGCCTGGCCTGAAGTCCAAGGTCGAGGCCCCCTTCCCTCCCCAGCACCCTCCTCCGCGTTTCTCGCCCCGCCTCCTTCCTCCTCCCTCAGTTGCCCCACCCAGCTCCCGCTGAAACCAGCCCTTCCCTGTGTCCCTCCAGAATGGAGGGATATCCTGTGGGGGCTGGGCAGAGGGAGAGGCGCCCCTTCCCAGGTACACACGTTGGGGATAAAGCCCTTCCTTTACTCTAGGGCCTCCCTTAGGCCCATCTGGGTGTGTTTTTAGTAGGGATGGGGGAGGGTGAAGTAGAGACCCAGAGAGAGAGAGATGGGTAGAGAGATGGAGGGTGAGACACCGTGACGGAGATGCCACAGAGAGACCCAGAGACAGACAGAGACAGGGGAGATGCAGAGACAAGGAGACAGGGAAGAGATAGAAAGATAGAGACCAAAGCACAGTCACACAGAGGCACAAGCAGAACCAGATCCCAAGAGACCCGGGGAGCCTTGGGGAGGGTGTCCAGCCCAGCTCTGCCCTGCCATGCAACCTGCGCCAGAGCCTTCCTCTCTGCCTCATCCTCCCCGTCTTGCCTGAGGTTATCCAAGGGGAATGCCACTGGCTTCTCAATCCTGTGGCAGCAGAGGTGCCCTCCTCCCAGGCCCCAGGCCCCTACTCACTCGCTGATGCAATGGGCAGCTGTGAGCACCCACTGGGCATGCACGAGGATGCCCCCACACTGGAAAGTGCTGAAATGGTACAGAGCCGCCTGCCAGGGCTGGGAACACTCACAGCCTCCCACAATCCGGGACTGAATCGGGGGCGCAGCACCTGCAGAGGCGGTGCTGGGTCAGGGAGGGCAGGGTTGGCAGGAGAGGCCAGGGACAAGGCCAGGAGAGGGAGCTGGGCTGTGGGTCTGAAGGGACATTGCAGGTAGAGGACCAGGGCTGGAGGTCTGGGGACATGGGCAAGGGGTGTTGGGAAGGGCTGGGACTCTGGACTGTTCCCTGGGCTTTTGGAGTGCTGGCTGGCCCTGGTGGGGAGATTTCATGCTCTGACAGTAGAGCAGCCTCCAGGGATCAGGGTAGGAGACATGAGACAGTGTCTGGAGCCGACACTGCATCTGGGTGTCAGGTCATTTGGGGTCTGGGGCTGGGGGATGGGAGGTGGTGGGTTAGGAGAGTGGAAAGGGATTCTGGAAACCAGGGATCAAGGCGCCAAGGGTGAGACAGGATCAGAGGCTCACTAAGGAAGAATCTGGAGGGCTAAGGGGCTCCCAGGCTAGGGAAACAGGATCTGGGTTGGGCTTTGGGGGTTCAGGAGAGGATGCAGCTTTAGTGAACCAGGTCTGAGAGGTCAAGAAGAGCATCTGGACTGACGAGTTTGGGGGTGACTTGGGGTCCCTACCCTGGGGTTGGAAGGGGCCAGCTTGGCTGGGACAGTTAGATTTCATGGCTTCCTGGTTAAAGGGTAAAATAAAGGGCTATGGTTAAGGGTAGGGGTGGGCTTCCGAGAGGTTTTAGGTTCCTTCCTGTGAACTGGGAATGGCAATCTGAGGGGAGGTTGGGGCCCTGAGAACAGAGTTGGGGTCAGGACTGGGACGGGGCTCAGGAGGAGGGAGGCGTGAGTGGCCGTCCTTCTCGGACAGGGTGAAGGATGGATCTTTGTTTCTCAAGGGGATGGGGTTCATGGTCTGAGGGTACTGGAGGAATGTGGGGCCCTCAATCCCAGGAAGAGGATGGGAGAAGTGGTCAAAACAGGCGCCGAGCAGGTGTGGGAATTCAATGCAGGACCCGCTCGATGTGAGGTTGTAGAATCACATACTGGTGGACTTGGGGGAGGCCAGGGCGGAAGGGCGGGCTGAGAAGGCATTCGGGATCCTTGGGGTGGGGTTCCAGAAAACCAGAGCTGTGCAGGAACAATTCAGGTGGAGAAGGGCTGGGGACTGGGGCGGGATGGAAATTCCCCAAGGAAAGGAGCATGTGGTGGGAGGGTGTGCCTGTTTTTCCTGGGAGAGCTGGGGGTGCTGGGTGGGAAGGGACATTTGCAGGCCCTCCCATACCAGATGGGGGATCCCACATGCCAGTTTGGGAAGCAGGGTTGTCTGGTGAAATTTGGAGGACCCTGGAAGGATTGGGGAGACCAGATGTCAGGGTCTGGAAGACACAGTTGAGAGCGGACAGCTGGATGGAAAAAGTCACTGGAGTGTGGTGGGATTTGTAGACTCAGGAGCCAAATAGGTGGCCGCAGGGAACCTAAGGGGCAGGAGGGGATGATTGGGGTCCTGTGGGGTTGGGGAAGCCCATGGGAGAGTTGGGGTCCTCCAGAGAGAGACAGAGATGGCCCAGAATCTGCCGCTATGGTAAGCGGTGGGACAGGGCGTTGGCTAGGGAAGAGAAGAAAGTACTGAGGCTTCCTGGGAGGAGCAGGGATCTGGTGTGGGAGTGAGGACTGTGACAACATGGAGGAGCTGGGGTGGAAGTTTAGGGTGGGGCCATGCAAGACAGATAAGAGCTGGGGCACCCCGGACCAGGATAGACTGTGGGCCGGAGGGACGAGGCTGGGCTGTTGGAGGGGAAGGGCTTATCGGCGGGGTGAGGGCAGCAAGAGAATCAGGGCCCGTTCCCCCTCCCACATCCCCCCACTGTCTCACCAGTCCCCCCCAGGGACAGGGCGAGGCACAGAACCAGGAACCACATGGTGACAGAGGTGTCCAGGGGCCGGCAGGTGGAGGAGCTGGGGAACCTCCCTGGGGAGCCTTTTAAAAGCTCTTATCCCCTCAGAGCCCCACCCCTGCCCTGCTGGCTCCCAGATGTTGGCCAAAGCCCTTCCCCTGTTGCCTGGGGGCTGAACAATCGCCTCCCCCCGCCCCCCCCCCAGTCCCCAGAGCTGTGGACGCGGAGGGAGAGCCAGCACCTGCTCTGCAGGCCCTAGATCACGCTGGACGCATTCCTGGGGTTGAAGCCAAATGGGGCAGGGCCTGTGGCTCTGGGGCTTTGCTCTGGGGAACAGCCAGTGAGGCAAGGGGGGACTGAGGGGAAGCAGAAACAGGAGGGTGGAGGAATCAGTGATCCCCGGTACAAAGCCCCATATACCTAAGTCCCAATGAAGGCCCTGCACCCCAAGGCCTGGTGCCCTCAAATATCAGCAGTTAGGGCTCTAATTCCCTGCACCGCTCACAGCCAAGATACTAGCATCTCAGCTGCCAGTTCCCCCTGAAATATAAGCCTTGGCCTTCAGAATGCCCTGGTTCTTGCACTTCCAGACCCAGGACCTAGGTCCCCAAAGCTACTGTTCCTTTTATAATAAAATTTTGGGGTACACATCACCACATTCCTAGTGCCTCCAGATCCAGGCTTGTGAAGTTTCAGGGGTCTCCCAGGGTAAGTTCTTTAGCATTACAAAATCCAATGTCCCTCCCAGTGTTGGGGTCCCAATGAGCCTCCCACTTCTTACTCCCAGTTATGAGTGCTCAACGTCCTGTCCTCCAAAGTCCTAGAGATCTGGACAACCTTCCCTCACAGGTCACGATCAGACTAACCACAGATTCCAATGACCCCTCCCCCCTACCCCCAATCCACCAGTACAATATTTAGGTCTCATGGGCCAGGTTCATGTACTTCCAATGTTCAGCTACCTTGAACATCACATTTTGTAGTCTCTGAAGATAATTAGGAACTAGATTCCTGCAGCCTCAATGGTAAACCCATAGGCTTCCAACATGTTGTCTTAGCTTTTTGGAAAAATCAAAGCAGCTCAGAGTTCCAGCCTCTGCTGTGTATCAGGGACCTGGCTAAGAAAAGGACAGTATTTGCCTTTTTGCCATGGCTACCAGGAAGCCCAGAACCTAATTTTTTTTTTTTTTCTGAGATGGAGTCTTGCTCTATCACCAGGCTGGAGTGCAGTGGCACAATCTCGGCTCACTGAAACTCCTGCCTCCTAAGTTCAAGCAATCCTCCCACATCACCCTCCCAAGTAGCTAGGATTACAGTCGTGTGCCACCATACCCGGCTAAATTTTTTTGTATTTTTAGTAGAGATGGGGTTTCACCATGTTGGCCAGGCCAGTCTTGAACTCCTGACCTCAAGTGTTCAAGGCCCGCCTTGGCCTCCCAAAGTGCTGGGATTACAGGTGTGAGCCTCCGTGCCCAGCCCAGAACTAAATCTTAAAGAAAAAGCCATTGTTGGTAATCTAGTGTCTGCTAGGTCCTATAAGTGGGATCCAGAGATAGAGGGTATTTACTCAGTGCCAGACACTATTTTAATCAGTTCAGACAAATCATCTCATTTAATCCTCAAAATAGCCCTTTGAAGTCAGCAATAAGATGGTCTCATTTTACAGATGGGGAAACCAAGGCCAAGGGAGATTGGGCCTCTTGTTCAAGATCACACGGGTGGTCATGTGTGTTGAATGAATGGAGCCCTGCTTCAAGCCGCTTCTCCTCACCTAGGGATCGGGGTGGTAGGTGAAAAGGAACAGTGTACAGTGTCTCTGGGTTTCCCTTTGACCCCAGAAAAAAGTCACAGAAATTCCTACAGAGAAGCTTGGATCAGTGCTTTGTTATCTTGGCGTTAAACAGGTGACCTTGAGCGCCAGCTTTGTCCTCAGGTGGGACAATCCTTGGCTAACATCTGGGCCTTGGACAGGGTCTTGGGGGATGGCTCCATTCTGTTCCATGTCAGGTGGGGCTGCTGGCCAGCTGTGGAGGCCTCTGCTCAGTCAGGGGCACAGGTAATAGGCCAGAATAGTCAGTTCCTCTTCATGGTTTCCCTGATCCACTTCAAGTAGTGGCAGACTTTGGTATAGACACCAGGCTTGGTGGTGTTGTCACAAGGGACATCACCCCAGGACACAATGCCCTGCAGGACGCCCCCACAGACCAGGGGTCCCCCGGAGTCACCCTGTGGGGAAAAGATGGGGTCTCAGGTTGAGTGAAACCTCCTGGATTCACTGCATTCATCCTCATCCTAATCACCATTTGCAATCTCACCCCAAACCTAATCCATCCCCATCCCAGGGAATCCCAACCCAACTCAGTTGGGATTGTCCCAGTTTATCCCAGTTTATCCCAAACGAAGCCAACCCAACCCCAACCCCAGTTCAACACAGCTCAATACAACTCACCCAACCTATGTCCAATCTCACCCCCATGCAACCCCAGTGCAACTGAACTAAGTTAAATCCAACCCAGCCCACATCCTCACCATTCAAAATCAAACCAAACCCATGCCCATCTCAAAATCCAATCTCAATCTTCGTGTCTTCTGCATTCCAAATAAAATCTACCTCATCCTGATTCAATCCTAACATATTTCCCACCCAAAATCAAACCAAACCATTCCCATTCTCAGCCCCAACCCATGCCATCTCAAACCAACTATCACATTATCCACCTCAAACAACGCAATCCCCACCTATAACCCCAACTCCAACCTCACCCCTATTCTAACTTCTTTTCCTACTCCATCTCCAAGCCTAACCCTAGCATCTTCTCTGGCCCAAAGCAAAGAAAATACAACCCCATCCGGACTCCCACACCTGTCTCCATCCCTCTTTTTCCGCCTGAGGGCCCCTCTGGGCTCTGACCTCACAGGATTCTGCGCCTCTGCCCTCCGCGCCTGCACACACCATGGTGTTCGTCAGGCGCCCTGGGTAGCTCTTGTCACAAGACGTGTCCGAGATAATGCTGATGTTGGCACAATGCAACGTATCTGGGAGACTCACTGGGGAGGACAGTGGACTTGGAGCAGATTCATAAATTCTGGCCCTTGTCCCCTCCGCCCAAGAGCCCTGGAACATAGGATTCCTTGAGGCCTCGCATCCAGCTCCATCCTTTCACGCACCTTGTGACTGGGGGCTCCGGGTGGTCCCAGGCTCGATGTGGGACACCAGGCCCCAGCCAGACACCACACAGGCCTCCCCCGGGTGGGGGCAACGCGTGGGTAGCATCACGGGGCGCACCTGGGGGGTCAGGCGTGCGGGCTGGACTAGACGCAGCAACATGATGTCGTGGCGGTGGCTGCGCGCTTCGTAGCGCGGGTGTGGGATGACCCGAGATGCGGTCCGTAGTTGCTCTGGGCCATCGCGCTTGCGCAGGTTGTGCTCCCCCAGGCGCACTCTCATGAAGCTGTGCGGGCGAGTGGTTTTCCCGCCAGTGGTTACCCGCAAGTAGAGGACAGAAGGATCAAAGAGTGGGCAGCCCGAGGTCCCCCGACCCTTTAGGAATCTCGACATCCCATTACCTTTTCCCAAGACCCTGAAGCCAAAATGCTCCTCAAGGACCAACGAGTCTGAAGTCAGGCACACTCCTAGAACTCCATCCCCTCCAACTACTCCCAGCCCCCTGCTGGTCTCTCCCTGATTCCAGGATTCTCACATCCCTAGAACTGAGGCTCAAAAGCTGGAACAAGTCTTCTCCTTACCCCTTCAGAGAACTAAGGCTTTGAAACACACACTCCCCTCTCACCCAGAGGCTTGACATCCAGCCTCCTCGTCTTTCAGAACCCAGGAGTGTTGGCGTCTGCCTCCGTCTTCCCCCAAAGCTAGGAGCTCTTCCCCGCACCAGGCTCCCTCAGGACCCTGAGCCCTGCCTTCATACCGGGTTTGGCAGTGGGCCGCAGACAGCACCCAGTGTGGGGAGATGAGGGAAGCGCCACAGTTAAAGCGTCCACGCTCGTAGAGGGCCACTTGCCATGGCTGGGAGTGGGGTGTACACTCGTCACCTTCCAGCAACTTGTCACCATCCTGGGCTGCTAGGAGAAGGGGTAGAGGATGCCTGAGGACAGGGACCTTTGCATTGCCTCCTACACCTTCCTTGCACTCTACCCTAACTACTATATGCCTATGCCTTTCCCAACTTCTCAAGATACCTTGCTCTGTTTTTTGTTTTGTTTTGTTTTGTTTTGTTTTTAACGGAGTCTCACTCTTTTGCCCAGGCTGAAGTGCAGTGGTATGATCTCGGTTCACTGCAACTTCCGCCTCCTGGGTTCAAGTGATTCTCCCGCCTCAGCCTCCTGAGAGTAGCTGAGGTGCCCGCCACCACACCTGGCTAATTTTTGTATTTTTAATAGAGACGAGGTCTCACCATGTCAGCCAGGGTGGTCTCAAACTTCTGACCTTAAATGCTCTGCCCGCCTCAGCATCCCAAAGCGCTGGGATTACAGGTGTGAGCCACCACGTCCCGCCTGCCCTGTTGTTTATTTACAACTGCTGCCTGTTTTCTCCAGAACTCTAGGCCCCACCCCATTTGCTATAAGACTCGGGGAGAGACAGGAAGGGGAACAGACCAGAGGACAAGAAGTCCTCTGTAGTTGGGGGTGGAGACAGGGGCACTGGATACAGGTTCAGACAGTGGGTCACTTGAAACCAGTCATTCAAGGTCACCAAATTGTCACCGACATTAAACGGATGTGGCCACTCAGTATGTGTGACACAGCCTTGGCCCCAGAGTCTGGACATGTCACCCAAATTCAGTGTGCAGTGTGAGTTCCAGATGTGGCCATACGAGGTCATGGACATGCATACATGCACATCCAGCTTCCAAACTTAGGTACAGCTATGAATAGGACTGGAAGCTGAAATTCACTTGCAGGCACATGGGTTGCAGCTTCAAGAATCACGGCACAGGCTGGGCACGGTGGCTCATGCCTGTAATCCCAACACTTTGGGAGACCGAGGCAGGTGGATCGCCTGAGGTCAGGAGTTCGAGACCAGCCTGGCCAATATGGTGAAACCCCGTCTCTAATAAAAATACAAAAAATTAGCTGGCATGGTGGCGGGTGCCTGTTATCCCAGCTACTCTGGAGGCTGAGGCAGGAAAATCGCTTGAACCCGGGAGGCAGAGGTTGCAGTGAGCCGAGGTTGCTCCATTGCACTCCAGCCTGGGTGACAAGAGTGAAACTTCGTCTCAAAAAAAAAAAAGAAAAGAATCAACAGCACAGATGTTCATATGTGTATATGAATATGGATGGTTAAGGCATGAATACACACACACACGCATGCACAAACACACACACAACTGGATATGGTTCAGACCTAAATTCAACATATCTAGTGTGGGTCTTGGCATCCAGTGTCACAGACACTTGCATATAGGGTCTGGACAAAGAAGGGGTCCTTAAGCCTGGGTTCGAATGTACTAGCTGTGAAACTTTGAGTAAGTTATTTGACCTCTCTGTGCCTCTGTTTCCTCATCTGTAAAATGAGGATTGCTGTAAGGATGAGGTAGGAATGTGTATGTGTGTGTGTGCATGTGTGAATGTATGGTGAGTGATACCTGGCCCATTGTAGCTACTTAATAAATATTAGTTGCTTTTTACAAATGACACCTGGATTTAGTCATAGGGACATACTCGTGAAAGTTTAGGTCCATCCTGAAGATGGCCAAAGTAAGTCAGACATCTGCACAGACCTACATATAATAAATAGTTAAGGTTGGCCAGGTGCGGTGGCTTATGCCTGTAATCTCAACACTTTAGGAGGCCAAGGCCGAGGTGGGTGGATCACCTGAGGTCAGGAGTTTGAGACCAGCCCGGCCAACATCGTGGAAAACCCTGTCTCTACTTAAAAAAAAAACAAAAAACAAAACAAAAATTAGCCGGGCGTGGTGGTGCGTGCCTGTAATTCCAGCTACTCGGGAGGCGGAGACAGAATTGCCTGAACCTGGGAGGCGGAGGTTGCAGTGAGCCGAGATTGCACCACTGAACTCCAGCTTGGGCGACAGAGCAAGACTCTGTCTCCAAAAAAAAAAAAAAAAAAAAAAAAAAAATCAAGGTTAAAACCGTGATTCACCCACAAGCCGTTTTCTAGAGTTAGAGCTGCAGACATTAATCCAGAAGGCCAACTCTCATGTGGACTTGCTGTCTGGGGCAGCACCCAGACATGGGGCTGGGCATTCAAGGTCAAAGACATGCAGCCGCAGCCAGAGGCAGCCAGGACAGGACAATATTTATCCATCTCTGGATCAGCCCCCAAGCCAGATCTGTGGCGTTCAAGGTCACTGATTGGGTTTCACATATGGGGATCTGGTTCATGCATGTGGAGAGGATGTGAACATACAGGGCCTTGTATACAGGGCCACTGCGCACGTGCATGTACACACACACACACACACACACACACACACAGAATGGCATTATGCTTAAGGACATAATTAGAGACATTCAAGGTCACAGGACAGGACCCTCTCCACTGGTCAATGGGGTTGTGTCCCCTCAAGGTTGAAGCCATGCACACCCCCACCCACACAGGGGCAGGATTTGCACAGCCAAACCAAATGCCCACACTCTGCCCATCACAGACAGGAACTGGGCCAAAGGCCCCCGTGAGACCAGGGGAATGCGGATGTGGTAGACAAGGGGCTTAACAAAGGAAGGGTGAGGTCGTCCTCCGAAGGGCGGAGGGTATGGACTGAACAGCTGGGCACCAAGGCGGCACCTGACCAGTCCAAGCCAGAGGAAGGTGGAGGCCCCAGCTGGGCGCAGCAGGCAGGCGGGAGACAGGTAGGTGAGTGCACAGAGACAGCCAGAGGGGAGGCTGGAGGGTGGGGGTCTGAGGGGCCCTCAGGAGTGAGGGTCATTTGTGGCAGAACGTTAATGAAAGTCTACCCCCCCTCAATTTCTCCAGAGGAGAGGCATCAGGTTACAATTAATTTCTTGGTGTGTGGCAGCTGAGTTCAGTCTGGAGTTTGCCTGCCACCCAGGGTGACCTTGATGTGGCCGTCCCTCTCTGAGCCACAGCCCCTTCCCTTGTCAAATGAGGTCGGTGGTGCCCACCACACATAGACGTTGTATGGAAGCTCTAAGCACCATGCCTGGCTTGCACACCTGAAGGGGCACTACCTGGGCCAGGCTTGTGCTCCTCTCTCACACACAACCACGTTTAATCCCCTCAAAGACCCTATGAGAGACAGGGAGTGGCAGGCGTGGGACTCAAGCTGGAGTCTGTCTGTGCTCTTGGCCTCTCAGCGCTTGTCTATTGCTTACTGTGTATATTACCTCTGTTATGCTATTGAGACCTCACCGTTATTGTCTCAAGCGGTGCTGTCTGATAGAGAAGACACTCGAAGCCCAGAGAGGTGAAGCAGTTCCCTCAAGGACACACAGCAAGGAAGCCGCTGCCCCAGGACTCAGCTCAGGTTTGTGTAACCCCAGGACCGTGTTCCTAGTCATGGGCAGGGAGAGGCCCCAGGCAGCCTAGCGACTCCAGAGCAGCAGCACCAGCCCCTGACGGTAAGGGCTTAGGGACATTGGTGCAGGTGGAGGTGGAGGGTGAAGGAAGGATCTTTAGTGGTCTCCGGGTGAGGTAGGGGCTGGCAGATCACTGGGCCCAGACATGCATGGGAAGGGGGCACCTGCTCCCACAGACCTGGCCCCCTCCTGGATCCACCTCACCTGAGGATGCCAGCAGGAAGGAGAGAGTGAGGAGAAGCCACATTGTGGAGGAGGGACCAGGGTTCCGCTGCAGTCTGGGGAGGGAGGGAGAGAATCCAGGTGAGGCAGGACCCTTCTGCCTCCACCAGGATTCCTCCAGACACAGACTTATCCCACCCACTGTTAATAAATTTCTTCGGACCACCGGTAACCCCTTCCTCCAACCCCACTCTGTGCTTCCTTCTTGGCCCCCCATCTCTGGAAGGTTTATTCTTCCTTAGCCACTGGGACAGACCCCATCCCCACTCCTCCACCTGTCAGCCCCCAGCACCATGCTACCAGCCCCTGGATCTCTCTCCATCACCAAGGACCCCTATTCCAACCTCTTTTTTTTTTTTTTGAGACGGAGTCTCACTCTGTCGCCCAGGCTGGAGTGCAGTGGCATGATGTCGGCTCACTGCAAGCTCCGCCTCCCAGGTTCATGCCATTCTCTTGCCTCGGCCTCCCGAGTAGCTGGGACTACAGGTGCCCAACACCGCGTCCGGCTAATTTTTTGTATTTATTTATTTATTTATTTTTTTAGTAGAGACGGGGTTTCACCATGTTAGCCAGGATGGTCTCAATCTCCCGACCTCGTGATCCACCCACCTTGGCCTCCCAAAGTGCTGGGATTACAGGCGTGAGCCACCATGCCTGGCCTATCCCAACCTTTTATCTGGCCTTTTGGGTCCCCCTCCAGTCCAGTCCCCTCCACCAGCCTGCCCTCCACCCATCCCAAAGGATCTTTCCACATCTGGAGCTCACTGTGCCCCTCCCCTCCCCTCCCCTGCTCACCACCCCCCATGGACCCTTAGCACCACCAGGATAAAGTCCAGCCCTTCAGCCTCAATTTCTTTTTTTGTTTTCTCTCACTCTCTTTTTCTTCTTCTTCTTCTTCTTTTTTTTCTTTTCTTTTCTTTCTTTTTTTTTTTTTTTTTTCTGAGATGGAGTCAGGCTCTCTCGCCCAGGTTGGAGTGGAGTGGCATGATCTCTGCTCACTACAACCTCTGTTTCCTGGGTTCAAGCAATTCTCCTGCCTCAGCCTCCCAAGTAGCCGGGATTACAGGCATGTGCCACCATGCCCGGCTAATTTTTGCAATTTTAGTGGAGATGAAGTTTCATCATGTTGGCCAGGCTGGTCTTGAACTCCTGACCTCAAGTGATCCACCCGCCTCAGCCTCCCAAAGTGCTGGGATTACAGGCGTGGGTTGCCTGGCCCCAGCCTCACTTTCAAGGACAAAAGTGGCTTCTTCCCTTCCAGCCCCTCTGCCCGGATCTCCCATGACCTTGTCCTAGACGCAGCCAGTGCTGCCATTTTTCCTCCTGCCATTTCATGCTCAGGCTGTTCCTCCCACCATGTATCCAACGCCATTCCCTTCCAGCCCTGCTTCCCCCTTGAGGCCTTTTCTGACCTCCCCTGAACCTCAGTGGTGTCTGCCTCCCCCTCTAGACTGGCAGCTCCCGAGGAGCAGCTGGTCTGACTCCACTCTGGGTCTCCAGAACTGCAGGGCCCTGCCCACGAGAGGCCTCAGGAAGCTTTGGGAGTGAATTAAAGTCCTTCTTCCCCATCTCTTCCAAATTCATCTTTGTCCTCTGAGACTCTGCCCCCACCTCTTCTGGGAGGCCCCAACACCTAACAGATGTCTCCCCTGAATCCCACAGCACCCATTCTGCCTCCATTATAGCACAGATGGCCCATACTTGCTGAGGTCTGGCCCGTTCGTTTCCCCATCTGGGGGCCTTGAAGATGGGGCTCAGGTCAGGTTCTTTCTGTGTCCTTAGCACTGCCCTGCCTGGGGCCTGGTACACAGGAGGCCTCCGGGAGGTTGTGCTGAACTGACTTGAACCCGTGATCACTCCTGACCACGTTCTTGGCTCTGGTACAAGCGCTTCAGGGACGTCCTCCTGATCCACTCCATCCCCCTCCCTCCCCACCACTGCAGCTCCTTCTGGCCACTCCAGGACATTTTCTTGGTTCAGGTTCAATTTGGGGCATTGGTAAAGGACACATGGATCTACCCATGCCCTTGACACTCAGTTCTCCCAGGGTGGTTGACGTTTCCCCTTGAGACCAGGGCACAGTGAATCTCCCCTTTGCCCCTCCCTCCAGTCTTGTCTCAAAGCTCTCACCTCCTCCAGGTCCTCCAGCAGCATCTAGGGTAGCTTGGGTGCCAGAAGAAAGGGAGCAGACACCAGGATGCCTGAATTTATAAGCTCCCAGTCCCAGCTGGGTCTGGGGGTGTGGTGGTGTAGGGTGGGGTGGGAGGTGGCTGAGAGTCAGGTTTACAGGCAGAGACGCCTTGGTGGCTGGTGGGGTGGGAGACTTGGCCTAATGAGCATTTATTAGGTTGAAGCTGTTGTCTGAGTCCACAAGGAGGAATTCTCCACCAGGGGCAGTTCCTTAAGGGGGAGGGGACAGGAGGACAAAAACAGAAATTAGGAGGAGATCAAAAGACAGAGTCTGGAATTTGGGGTCTGGAGTGTGGAAACTGGATCCTAGAGTCACTGTTCTGGGGCTTGGGGCAGAGTTCCGGATCCTGGGTTCTGGATCCACATCGTCGGTTCTGGATCTGGGTCTTGGATTCCAGATTTGGGGATCTTGAGTTGGAGATTAATGACCTGCAGTCTGGAGTGTGGATTTCAAAGTCTGAGTTCTTGGGCTTGGGGTCTGGAATCTGGATCCTGGAGTCGGGCCTTTGAGTGACAGATCTTGAACCTAGATTCTGGATCCTGGGGCATTCGAATCTAGAGCCCAGAGTAGCAGCCCGGAATCTGGTGTTTGGAATCTGGCACTTGAGACTGGAAACCTTTGCACCTGCTATGAGAAGCCTGGGGCCTAGACTACAAATGGTAGATTTGGGATTTTGAATTGTGGGGTCTGGATTCTTTTTTTTTTTTTGAGATGGAGTTTCACTCTTGTCACCCAGGCTGGAGTACAGTAGCGTGATCTCAGATCACTGCAATGTCCGCTTCCTGGGTTCAATCGATTCTTCTGCCTCAGCCTCCTGAGTAGCTGGGATTACAGGCGCCCGCCATCACACCCAGCTAACTTTTATATTTTTAGTAGAGAGAGGGTTTCACCATGTTGGCCAGGCTGGTGTTGAACTCCTCATCTCAAGTGATATGCCATCCTTGGCCTCCCAAAGTGCTGGGATTACAGGCATGAGTCACCGTGCCCGCCTTGGGGTCTGGATTCTACAGGATGGATCTAGTCTCTGAGCTTTCAGGGGTAGACTTTGGAGCATAAAATCTGGAGTTTCAAATCTGTGTTTTGCATTTAAAAGCTGGACTGTGGCTGCCCAGTGACTCATGCCTTTGAGAGGCCAAGGTAGGAGGATTACTGGAACTGAAGGGTTTGAGACCAGCCTGAGCAACATAGCAAGACCTCATCTCTACTAAAAATCAAAATAAATAAATACATACATACATAAATACATAAAATTTTAAAAGGCTGGATTGAGAGACAAGGACCTGGTTTTCACAATTCTGAGACTGTTAGAATCTTGACTCTAGAGTCTGAATTTGGAGTCTGGGAAACTAGGATCTCTATTCTGGTCCTGTAGTCTTATTTCTGGGTTCTAGAGCTTGAAATCTGGATTCTGCATTCCAGAGGTTGGAGATTGTCACTGAGATGACCCAAGGCTTTGGGTATTTGAGGCTGGCTTCCAATGTCTCAGTACCCCAGAGGGCCCCAAGCAATTGTCTAGAGTCTATTTTGGCTTAATTAATGAGGAGGTCCCGAGACAGGAGGGACTGACCTCAGGTCACCAGTGAAGGATGGGACCTGTTGTAAGCGTGGTCTCTGTCCATGTGTGGAAAGCCATCATCTTTATGGGAAGGAGTCATCACATGGGATTCAGCCATTCTAGAATTATAGGCCCCTGGAATTTCTAGAATATCAGACTTTCAGATTCTAAAATCACAGGCCCTAAGACATTCTGGCAGTCTAGGACACTCTGGAATGTAAGATTTTAGAATAGCCTAAAACCACAGAGCTCTAAACACTCTTGAACCTTAGAACTCTGGGCGCTCTGGAGTCCCCAGAAACCTCATGCATTCTAGAACGTCGGGTCTCCAGACATTCTACAAGCCCAGACCGGCAGACATAATAGATTCCCAGGTTGGAAGCTCTTCTAGAACTCCTATGTCCCTTTGCCTCCCTCCCCACAAATTCATGCTCAAAGTCTGCGGCCTCACCCTGGGCCACCGCTTCAGCTGAGCAGCCCTGTGTATGGAATGCGGCTGCAGGCCACTCCCCCGTGCCAAGTGCTCGCTTTGTAGGATCTCACTCAGGCTCCGGGCACCCCTGTGAGGTGGTTGTATTAGTAACCTTACGGCTTCCTGCTGAATATGGAGGAAACTGAGGCCCAGACAGGGGGCAGCACAAGCAAGGCTCCTGCAGAAGCGAGAGGCCACGCGGGAGAGGAATCAGTGTTCCGACTGCGGAACGCCGGGTGGACCAGTTCGCCGCCCCCCCTGCAGCCGCCTCCCTCTGTTGGGGCGCAGTGGTGACAAGGGGAAGGAGCCGAGCCCCTGGGATTTCCTCGGTGCCAGGTCTGTGTTAGCGCTTTCCGTCACGATCTCACGTGCTTCTCCTCCTAACCAGCCTAGACAGGTACTGATGAAGTACCCCTGATACAGACGGGGACACTGAGGTCACTCCCGCTGCGCGGAACCCAGGCGCGAACCCAGTCTTCGCAAAGCTCCCTGAAGGGCGTGCAGCCAGCGGCTCCTGCAGCCCCGCCCCCACGCAGTGACGTCAGCGCCCCGCCCCCACGCACTGTGGCCGGCTCAGGCCCGCGCGATCGATGTCCTCCTGGACGTGTCCCCGGACGTCCTTCACCTCCACCGCGGCCTGGGTCCCGCCCACCACGGCCTGAGTCCCGCCTTTGCCCCACTCCTCCTCCTGCTGAGAACATTCTCTAGGAGTCTTTCATCAACTCCCGTGGTTCATCCACCAACCACGCAGGTCTCCTCCATCTGACCCTGAACTCCGGCTTGGGCAGCCACCTGCTCCTGTGCGCCCCCTGCACCAGTGTCGCTAGGCCCCTCTCACTCACCGAGTCCCAACTCATTGCTCTATTTCCCCAAACCCTCCTTCCCTGTTCTTCCATGTTCTCCATCTCAGGGGCAGCGTCACCGACCACGATTCGGCCAGACGCCCTTGGCACGGACCTTGCCCCATCTCTCCCCTTACCCCTACAGCCCATCAGTCCCCAGCCTTGTCCCTTCGGCCCCTGCCTCTCTCTGCCCCGTCCCCTCCTCTCTGTCCCCTTGGCCTGGCTCCAGCCCAGACGTCCTTCTCTGTCTCTGGACCCTCGCCCCTCCTGTCCGGGAGGACAGCCTCCTGTCGGTCACCACGTGGCCCCAGAGGGTCTCTCTGCACTTGGAGCTCGCCCCGCCCCTCCTCTGCTCACAGCCTTCCCTTGCAGCTCCCCATCACCCCTGTGCAAGGTCCCGGCTTCTCAGCCTGCAGTTTGAAGCCCTTTGAGAGTCCCCCGCTGGAACAAGCCTCCCCTCAGACCTCCTTCTCAGGGGTACTGCAGACTGCCCACCTCGGGAGCCGGACTGGACTCGTGGTGCCTGAAGGGGCTCCCCATGAGGTGCTAGCCCTCCTCTAACTTAATCTCACCATGGCCTCCGTTCTTTCTGGGACCGGACAAGCTGCTGTTTCAGGGCGCTGGGTCTGGATCCAGACAGCGTGGGCGCAGATCTCTGTTCTACTACTTACTATCTTGGGAGACTCTGGTAAGTGTCTTTTCTTCTCTGTGTCTCAGTTTCTTATCCTTAAAATCAGAGGATCCCCTCGTAGAGTTTTTCGAGGAGTAACGACTTAGTTTGTGTTAGGAGCTCAGAGCATATAGTAAATTACGACGATTCATTCATTCTACGCATGAACAGATGGGAGTGCGGGGGCCATTGGTGAAGGTCTGCAGAAGTGGAATCAAGAGAATGGCTCTCGGGGTCCTGGTGCCCCTTGTGAGAAGCGTCAGCTCTATGGGTGTCAGGTGCTCATCTGTGAAGTCTTCGGTTGGGGTGGGGTGGAAATGGGAGGGACCTCACAGGGGTTGGATGAGGTCATATCCATGGAGCAGGTGTGCGAATCATAAAATCAGGCTGACGCTTGCAAGACCGGTTAACATGGCACGTGATTCGAATGTGACTGCTGGAGCCAGGTGGCCCGGGTTTGAGTTCTGCCTCTGTCCCATAATACTGTGCACCCTCAGGCAAGTCACTTAGCCTCTCTGTGCCTCAGCTGCCTCACTATAAAGTAGGGGTAATAATTGCTCCTCCCTCTTCTGTAGGAGCGTTTTGTGGTGTTCATGCTTGAAATCTGTGCCTGGCACTGAGTGAGTGCTGGGCCATTATCAGTCTGTCCTATGGCCCTTGGGAACTGAACGCTGGGGAAGAGTGGTTATGTGGGGTGTTTCTCAGATGACACAGTTGGGCAGCAGCAGATTCGGGACTGGACGAAACCACTGTGGTTTTTTTTTTTTTTTTTTAATTTTTATTTTTAGACAGAGTCTCCCTCTTTTTGCCCAGGCTGGAGTGCAGTGGCGCAATCTTGGCTCACTGCAACCTCCGCCTCCCGGGTGCAAGTGATTCTTCTGCCTCAGCCTCCTGAGTGCTGGGATTACAGGCACCCACCACCACACCCAGCTAGTTTTTGTATTTTTAGTAGAGATGGGGTTTCACAGTGTTGGCCAGGCTGGTCTTGAACTCCTGACCTCAAGTGATCCACGCGCCTTGGCCTCCCAAAGTGTTAGGATTACAGGTATGAGCCACCACGCCTGGCCAAAAGCCACTGTTTTGATCTCCCAGATGTGGTATCTTTTTCTGAATCCCTGTGACCCCTTTATCAAGACTCCTGTTTTACAGATGGGGGAGCGGAGGCCCAGGGAGAGGATATGGATGTGTGAGACCCTGGTGTGAGAGTGTGACGTCAAGCAAAGAGAATGCCACACGCAAACGAGTTCTCCTCTGAGACTTTGTTTCCTGGGCTGTGCTGGGGGAAGCTGGAGGGGAGGAGGCAGAAAAACCTGCATCTTCTTTTCTTTTGTCCTACCAATAGGTGGCACCAACTGTGCATTTGTTCATAGGAGGTCTGCTTCTGGGTCTGAGGGAGGAGGGGCTGGGGGCCGGGACTCCTGGGTCTGTGGGAGGAGGGACTGGGGGATCTTAGGGAGGTGGGGCTGGGGCCCGGACTCCTGGGTCCCGCACTCTGGGGCTGGGAGAGAAAGGCCTGCCCTGCCTGCTTCTTCCTCTGTGTGTTCCACCCCCACCCATAGACCTCTTCTCCGGATTCCTGAGCCCCCAGCCCACTTTCCAGCTCCGTCCTCCTCCCTTTCTGGAAGTTTCCCTTCTGCCTTTGTTCATAGGAGGTTTGCTCCTGGATCTGAGGGAGGAGGGGGGTGGGGTCCTGAACCCCTGGGTCTAAAGGAGGAGGGGCTGGGGAGTCTGAGGGAGGAGAGGCTGGTGCCTGGACTCCTGGGTCTGAGGGAGGAGAGGCTGGGAGCTGGGATTCCTGGTCTGAGGGAGGAGGGGCTGGGGGGTCTGAGGGAGGAGAGAGCTGGGGAGATGTGTGTCTTCTCCCTGCCGTGACTGCTGCTCACTTTCCCCATGTCTGTGTTTCTGCTCCCCTCTCCTCGTGATCCTGTCAGCTTCTTTTAGTTTTTATTTTTTAGAGTTGGGGTCTTGCTGTGTTGCCCAGGCTGGAGTGTCATGGTGCAATCACAGCTCACTGCTACCTCAAACTCCTGGGCTTAAGCAATCCTCTGGTATCAGCCTCCCAAGTAGTTGGGACTACGGGTGTGTGCCACCATGCCTGGCTATTTTTTTTTTTAGAGATGGGGTCTTGATATGTTGCCCAGGCTGAGATTGTTTGTAAAATGTCATCATGGAGCACCCTACCTCCCAGTGCGGGAATGCTGGCTG